TGCCTGGGAAGGGTATTTTTATGCCGTGCTGCTGCTGGTGGTGGCTCTTCTGCAATCATTGGTCTTGCAGCAGTTTGTGCGGCGATGCTTCGTTCTGGGGATGAAGGTTCGAGCTGCCCTCATGGCTGCCGTGTACAAGAAGGTAACAGCAGAGGAGACATCGCAACAACTCCTTTATCCAATTTAATTAAGCTAAAACTTCAACCTTTGATTTAGTAAATAATTTAGTCATTTATTTAAAAGATTCCCAAAACATAGACAACATTTTTCATTTACTTCATTGATGCAATTTACTGTATTTTGTAGCTATGAAACTATTGGCTTTAAATTCAGCCCTTTTTGTCTACAGACAGATATATGACTTCCAACTGCAGCTTTAGTCTTTTATTTTATTCAGCTTTGAACATTGTTATTTTGTTTCCCTCTTTCTTCTTTCTTCCTTCTCTCGCTTCTTTCAAAGGCGTTGGTGATGTCTAACGACAACCGCAAAGAGTCAACAGTCGGAGAAACTGTGAACCTCATGTCAGCAGACGCCCAGCGCTTCAACGACGTGACCAACTTCATCCACCTGCTGTGGTCCTGCCCTCTGCAGATCATTGTGTCCGTCGTTTTCCTGTGGTTGGAGCTGGGACCTTCAACATTAGCAGGGGTTGCAGTAATGCTGCTAATGGTGCCGGTCAACGGACTGTTAGCCAACCAGGCCAAAAAAATTCAGGTCACTGGAATTACGAATAAGTTCTTCATGCACCTTTCAAATGTGGCTTGTGCAATAACAGTTCCATTTTTTTGTTTGTTTTTTTTGTTAAAATTGTGTTATGAGATTGAAAAAAAAAATAGATATAGATACAATTGTATTCAAAATGTAAAAACAAGATGGTGGATTCCTTCTCTTTAGCACAAAAAGAATCGGTCACTAAAAATGAAACATGTCTCAAATGCATCACATCTTGCTCCAATCTTTGAAAATTTAAGTACGGGTAAGTAGCAATCTAATTGATTAATGTCAGTCTGGAAAAGCTAGACTTTCTTTTGATCTTTTGATATTTGCCTTGTAGCTATCTGCAGGTGTCCACCTTGTTCATGATCTTTCTCTGGTCTGATTCTTAGGTGTTTATTGTTGATAACCTTTAACAACTTATTTTGATTGCAGTTTTATTTAAGGTACTAGAGTTTCTTTCTATTTTTGATCTTTGCTACATGCGATTAACAATGAAATGTATTATATCTGTTGTCAGAGAGAAAACATGAAGTCTAAAGACAAGAGACTAAAAATAATGAATGAAATCCTGAACGGAATCAAGGTAATCCCCTCTTCTGATAATGGTCATATACTTAAATTCTTTCTGACATATTTAGATATTTCGTGGTCCACTTCAACGCCCGTGTTTCTGACTTCGCCCTTCATTTCTTACCAGACTCTGAAGCTGTTTGCGTGGGAGCCATCCTTCCAGACTCAAGTTGAAGATATCAGAGGAGAAGAACTGAAGGTGATGAGGAAGTTTGCCTATCTCACATCTTTCTCCACCTTTATCTCCAACTGTGCCCCCACTCTAGTGAGTCATCTTAAAGGTTTGCTTAAGTTAGTAAAAGCCCATAAAGGTCCTTGACGCTAACACGGCCTATGGTTTTTGGCAGGTCTCTTTGGCCACATTTGCTGTGTTTGTTGGTGTGAGCTCAGACAACATATTAACTGCTGAGAAAGCCTTCACTTCAATCTCTCTGTTCAACATTCTACGACAGCCACTGAGCATGCTTCCTACGCTCATAGCTTCCATTGTGCAGGTAAATACTGTTGTAACTGCAGCTTGGACACAAGTCAGAGCTGTAATGAAAACTATAAATACCTGTTGATTTCACATGTCAGACAGCGGTGTCTAAGAAGAGACTGGAGAGGTTTCTGGGAGGAGATGATCTTGAGAGCGACATTGTGCGTCATGACTCTAGTTTTGGTAAGTTAACCATTTGTTTGTTTTGTTATGCAAAGTACTGTATCCCTCCAAACTAACTCTCTGTTCTTAGCGGTTGACACTTAACCATCTCTCCATCCAGTGGGAACTGAGATTCCTAAACGTGCTGAATCTTACGCTGATCAGTATCTGTTGGACATCTACATAGTTGGTTTATCAAGGTAGACTCGTCTGGCTTCTGACGGCCCACATCTGAGTGTTGATTCAGTTTGTTAGGTTTAGTTTCTACATAAAAACATGGAAAAACTGGTATTCTGACAGATCAGAATATGCAGAACCCTTTAACTCCTTCTATTAAAATGTGGAAAATCCCTATTGACTAACAATAGCTTACTCCATTCAAGATGCAAACCTTATTAAAAAGGCCAAAATGAGCTAAAATGTTGTCAGAAGCATGTTGACCTCTAATAAAATGTTGTCAGAAGCATGTTGACCTCTAACATACTTCATGCAGTATGCAAACAGCAGTGGGTAGGCTAAAATGAGCTAAAATGCTAACGTAAGCTAAAATGATGTCTGTAGCATGCGGACTCGTCCTAGCAAGTGACTTACTTCATTCAGTATGCAAACCTCAGTGTGTAAGTTAAAATGCTTTGAAGAGCACGTGTGTTATCAGAAGTGTGTTGAACAACATTGATTTACTCTATTCAGTAGGCATCGCTATCGCAGGCCACAATGAAAATAAATAAATGTAACTGCCTAACCTGGAGGAAGTCTTTGGAGCTTGGGGGCTGGTCGCTTTTCACCATGCAAAATAACACCTGGTTACTTTTTAATCATACTATGCATGGAAATAAAGGATGGTCTCATCTATGGCCAGGAATCTGACTGGGAGATTTGTTTTAATGTGTTTTCTTTTCCAAGACTCTGCTGTCAGCATAAGTGATGGTTCTTTTGCGTGGGAAAAAGACTCTGAGCCTCTACTTAAAAGGTATGCTGTGGCCACAAAATTGGCTTTTAAAGCCACTGTATTTTTCACTTTGCTTCTGCCTTTGTTTCCCAGTGTCTCGCTAGACATTAAGCCTGGCGGGCTGGTAGCTGTAGTGGGAGCTGTGGGCTCAGGGAAGTCCTCTCTCTTGTCAGCGCTCCTGGGAGAAATGCACAGGACCAAAGGCTTCATTAACATTCAAGTAATATGTTTTTGTGTGTTTTTATGCGTTACTTAGGGTAAAAATAGTGGCAATTAAAAAAATAAAAACTAGTTTAAAACAATACTTGGCAGATTTCTAAAGAATGTGATCCTTTGAGAGCTACCATTCTGCAACATTTAGATGCATCCCTGTTTCCAACACATCTGAATCAAGTGGCTAAATTCCTTCACCAGGAGTCATTCAGCTCTGTAGAGGCCTGGTAACAAGCCACTAATTTGATTCAGGCATGTTGGAGCAGGTATGCATGCGTCTGAGTTACAGATAAATGGAAGAGGACTGGTCTTGGACACCCACTGTCGATTGCTTAAAGGCACAAGCAGACAAAAAACTACTCAAAAGAAGGATGCAATACAAAATATGTTAAAAACTGCAGGTGGAAATTAAGTGGACAAGGGTAGTGCCAAAACTTCTTTGGTCACTGGTGTGCTCAAATAGCAGTCTGACAAGCCTGGCCACATAGCCTAGGAAATGATAATGTGTGGTTCTACTTATTATAAAAAATAAAATAAAATAAAAATATGATACACATGTTTCATGAACAGCCATGTCCATAACAGGCTGGACCACATTTATTCTCAGAAAATACACACAGTTGACACTCATTAGACAAAGTGAACCTGTGAAAGTCATAGAGAACTCTAAGCTCTAAATTTCGTTTTGCATAGTTTTTAACATAAAAGAATGGTTACTGGATCTTTTGTATTTCCACCCAGGGCTCTCTTGCATTTGTACCACAGCAAGCCTGGATCCAAAATGCCACTCTGCGGGATAACATCTTGTTCGGCTCTCCCTACGAAGAGCAGAGGTTCGAAGACATACTGGAGGCGTGTGCTCTGGGCCCCGACCTCAAGCTGCTGTCTGCAGGAGATCTCACTGAGATCGGAGAAAAGGTAGGTTTAAGCGTTCAAAGTTTAGAATATAAACAATGTCAGGATTGATTGCATGACATGTTTTGGTACATGTCATACATTAGATCTGTGTTCGTAGGGTATAAATCTCTCAGGAGGTCAGAAGCAGCGCGTCAGCTTGGCTAGAGCAGCTTACAGTCAGGCTGATATTTTTCTGCTAGATGACCCCCTGTCTGCTGTTGACTCTCATGTGGGAAAGCATCTATTTGACAAAGTTATTGGACCCAATGGACTTCTGAAAGACAAGGTTTGTAATGTGAAGAATTAATGTGTTGGATAAAAGCATGGATAAAATCTTGTTGGATAGCTTGAAAAACCCTCCCCGAAATTTCAGTAAAGTTGGGATCTAAGTGGCTTCGATTATATTGCCATAAAGACCTAATAATGCTGAGCTTTTTTTTTTTTTTTTACTATTTTGTGTCTCTGCAGACTCGTATCCTGGTGACTCATGGAGTTAGTTTCCTGCCTTGGGTAGATGAAGTTGTAGTTTTGGTGAATGGACGGGTTTCTGAGGTGGGATCCTACCAGAGCCTCCGTGCGAGCAAAGGAGCTTTCTCAGAATTTTTAGACACATACGGCACAGAGCAAAGCAATCAGACAAGTTCAGAAGGTAATCATGCAAATTCCCATTCAATGTAAGAAATGTTAGGTGAAACATTCATTTTTATCACTATCTTTTTAGATGGATGTCACGATAAAGAAGACTTCATCTCCGACTCAGAGGACGACCAGTCAGACGTTTCTTTGGCGGACGACGTTTCTCTCATGCTGAGGAGGGAAAACAGCGTCCGGCGGAGCCAGAGAGGAAACAGAAGCAGGTTTGATCCAACTGTACAAAAGCTGAGAAAGGCTGTGTCCCCACTGTACATTTTTATTTAGCTTAGTTTATATCAAACAGAGTGATGGTTCCATATCTCATGTTAAACTTCATTGCAATCAACAACTCTGAGAGTAAAAACATATATAGTAGATAAATAAAGTGTAATGAAGTGTATCCCTACTTAAATAATCACCTCCAGTATTTCAGCAGCCACACACTGAGTCTGTGTGGCTCTGCTTCATCAGGCTGGCACATTTGGAAATTATGAATTATTCTCTACAGAAAAGCTCAGTCTTTGGTGTTTACCAAACATAGCATGTAGTAGGATTATCAAAAAAGCTCTTTTTTTGTCTCATATCTCTTTGCATCCATCTCCTAATTCTAATTTTTATCCGATGTGTTCAGACTCTTCCTTTGTCTTCATGAACCAGGTACACATATCAACTTTGCTCAGGCGATCTCCATTTCACATTGTGGGAAGCTGCTCACACTTGTTAGCTCATCTTCTGTTGAATTTGATCAGTCGATTTCTTTTTTTTTTTTCAGTGAAATATTTCAATCAATTTTTATGTTGAAATTAAAGTGTACTTTGTTTTATTGTTTGTACTAAATATCATATTTACCGTTATTTTATTTACAAAAGCAATAAAGTGTTGAACCATCCAAAGGAGGTGAATGTTTTTAGAGGCATTTCACAACATATAGGAGTATATTGTGTATATTATAGGCACAATATATAAAATGTGATTTCCCCACATTCTATATATTGTGGGGAGAGTTGTTCTGGTGGTGTCAAAAGGATAATTCCAAAATAGAAAAACAAAGGCTTATTTTCTGCTCAAAGCTTTGCTATATTATTTGAGTCGGTGTTCTTTGTGATTCATTTCTTCCATTTCTCCTCTCTTCTGCTCTGTGCTGTCTGTAGTTTCAGATTAAGAAAAAACAGCAATTTAAAATCCCCTGAAAACACAAAGAAAGGTCAGAGGCTAATTGAGAAGGAGACTGTGGAAACAGGACAGGTATACGTCTTTTATCAGCCTCATTCTGTCGTACTCCCCAGGGTGTTTGTCATTTTCAGTTTCTGCTCTAACATCTGCTGCACCTTCCCTGAGCTCCTAGTGATGCCAATCACATTGACTTGTAGGCAGAGTGTGGCCTTTCCACTGATAACCTTTGACCTTCAGCGAATCAGATCATAAGCTCATCAAATTTACTAGACTGTGCTATACATAAGGACCAGCACGGGTCAATGTTTCTTACCAGATTGTCTGTCTCGGGCTGAGTTCCTTCTTCAAATGTCATGTTCCAAGACATGCTACTAGCAGGACCTTTAAATCATTCACTCACTGACTCACATTCTAGTAAAATCCATACAGATCCTAGAGAACACATTTCCAGTATATAATCATATACTGATACTGTCCACTGTTCTGTATCAGTAACCTGCAGTTATCTTTTCCTGCCCATTTCCTGGAAATTAACGAGAGTCTCCATTGGAGATAGAGTCTGCTAATCAATACAGATGTCTGTAAAAGAGCAACCCCAGTTTCATCTGCATCTCCCAATCAGCTGTTTTGACTAATTCAACCTCTGGTTCAGGGCCAGTCCAGTCCATAACATTAATGATTTATTCAGCGAATTATTGATTTATTGACATTTTTAAATGCAATCTGATTTTCTGGAGGGAACATATTCCTGAATTAGCATTTGAGATCTGAAACATTAGCCCCCTAATGTCCAATGTTTGTATTCTATGCTTAGCTTATGTAACTATCAATAATGATGAGGAATCATTTGTTATTAGTGGTATTATTAATAGAGTTGAAGTTTCTTTAATAAAAAAAAGAGTGAGAGAGAATAATCAGGGCACCACCGGAGAATTCGGAAGGGCGAGCCTTCCTGGAAAAATCCAAGCCGAGGAAGACAATGGGTCATACAACCAGAGCATTTGTTTAAGCCTTGATTCAGAAGCTAAGCAAAGAAAACATGTCTTTGGTGTTTTCTACTGTCTGAAAATGGAGTGTGTGAGAGAAAAGAGAAAGAGAAGACGAGGAAGGAGAAATCAATAAACTCAAGAGTTGGATACAGTCACTTCAACACATGGCAGCATTAAAACAGTGAAAGATAATAATCACACAGCGTGCAATCAGCAACTCTTCAAACGTCATATTTAACTAACTTATCTCAGCCCAGACACTTAAAGAAGGTCCAATCCTTTAAGTGTCAATGGACTTTGATAAAAAAAAAAAAAAAGAAAACAAGAAAATAAACATGCTTTTTCACAACACTTTGTTTTAGAGCTAGAAAATTTAAAAGCATTTCCCTGGTGTTTGTTTTCTGTTTGACATGCAGGTTAAATTCTCAGTCTGGCTCCAGTACGTGCAAGCCATGGGCTGGGGATATGCCTTTTGGGCCCTCTTCATTTATGTCATGCAGAATGTTGCCTTTATTGGTCAAAACCTGTGGCTGAGTGACTGGACCAATGATGCAGTGGAGTATTACAACCAGACATACTCTCCCAAGAAGAGAGACACCAGGGTGGGGGTATTTGGTGCTCTTGGAATGGCTCAGGGTAATTAAACAGTACTTATATATATTTTTGTTCCAAATTATGTCATATAACACATAAAATACTGTTTTGCAGAGTTACAGTAACAATAAATTGTGTGCTGTGCTCTAATGCTGCTTTACTGGTTGCTTTTTTTATATATTTAAACTGCATTTTGCACCACAGAAAGCTAAAACTCCCCAGTACTTTCAAGGTTTCCTTGCTCGCAAATTGCACAATTGGCTGTTGCTATGATGCCATGGATTAAACTTAATTTTTTTTTTTGATTAAAAAAAAAAAAAAAAAAAAATCTAACATTTTCTATTTTCCAGTGATCAAAAGTTTGATTTATTATCATTTAAGCTCAAATGTACTGGTGGGTTTAGGATTGTTTTGAAGGACAAAATCTTGGCATCTTCCCATCCATGAGCCAACCGTGAACTCGTATATAACAAATTATTGGAGAGGTTTTCCAGACACTGGGAGGCGAGCCAATGTCCTGTCTAAGCATCACCAGCTTTCACCCTCAGGGAGGTGCTTCAGGCTGAAACTGGAGAAGGAACAGCAACAATTTGTCTTTCCCTTCTTAGCCCTGCTACTCAACCAAAAGTAACACCTCTGGAGTCTGAATGTCCCTTATGGAAGTTTTTAAGTATGAAATCAAACTTTGATTCCTTTTAATGTATTGATCATTGTTGTCTTTATTTTTAAAGACTGCTGAAACCATCCTTATGTGTAAAATGAAAGGGATTTGTCTATAGACAACTTTGTATTTTTATTTTTATTTTTATTTCAGGTCTGTTTGTCTTCCTGGGTACGCTGCTCCTGACCAATGCTGCAGTCAACGCATCTCGTCTTCTGCATTCAAGACTGCTCAACAATGTCCTTCGAGTTCCCATGGTTTTCTTTGACACTACGCCACTTGGGAGAATCCTCAACCGCTTTGCAAAGGTGGGGTTGAATCATCTTGTCCATATTTCTTCCTGTCTGTTGTGAGTTTTTTATTAGCTTGTATGAGTAAAAAAAAACAAACATGTTATTTGAAAAAAAAAATAAAAATAGACAAGGTCCTTTCTGATTTTCACAATTTTAAAGTGTTGTTTGTTAAGAGCTTTCTGCTTTAAAAACTATGAAATACCAACTTTATTTTGCTCCTCTTGCAGGACATATTCACAATAGATGAAATCATTCCACATTTGTTCAGCTCCTGGATCATTCATCTGCTGGGCATAGTGGGGACAATAGTTTTCCTCTGTCTTTCCACTCCTCTCTTCATCATTGTCATCATTCCTCTGGCTGTGATTTACTTCTTTGTACAAGTGAGTTATAATATGCAACCTGCAGCTTTTTCTATCACTTGAATTTTAACACGACTTTGAAACTCTGAGTTGGCTCGAAGTGACTTAAGTCTTGTGGTCGTTCTAAAGAGTGTCTGTGTTAACATTACTGCATTTCCTTTTCCTCCATTCAGCGATTCTATATACCAACTTCACGACAGCTGCGTCGCCTGGAGTCAGTCGCTCGCTCTCCTATATATTCCCACTTTGGCGAGACCATGTCAGGTCTGTCCGTGATAAGAGCCTACAACCATCAGGAGCGATTTATGAAACACAATGAAGTAACCATCGACGAAAACTTGAAAACTATCTATTCAAGGATCATGTCAAACAGGTCAGCATGGAAGGGGACCCTCAAACACAACCAAACTGCGATTCGTATGTCTAATCTGATTGTACAATAGCACAGCAAGCAGGTTTGCTCAGGCACGTCATGGACTTTGGTGGCTTTTATCTGGAGCAGTAAGCAAAACAAACTTACTACATGGAACTTGTGTATGGGTTGCCAAATGGGGCCTACAGAAATGTTGCCATTTTTGGCTCCTATGGGGCCTCCAAATCTATAACTTAGAGTTAGCCCCACCCAAAGTTTGCATTTTTGTGTCAACTTCAAGTATTTCTCTGGGTTCCCCATGGTGGAACCTGTTCCAAAAATACCCATATATGAGTCAGTCCGCCCATTTTATCACTTGATTAGATTTCTATGTGCAGACCTCAAGTTGGACATGAGATATCTCAAATATCGCACCCGTTTTACCTCTTAATATAACAAATCCTTTAATTAGTCGAAAAATGTGGTAAGCAAATATCGTATTCCCACTTTCTCCCAGTAAGAGGCTCAGACAGGGATATTTGCATGCATTTCTGTTTATGTTTATTGGTAGTGTCTGTTTGCTCAACAGATGGCTGGCCGTCCGCCTGCAGTTTCTCGGAAACCTTGTGGTGTTTTTTGCTGCTGTATTTGCTGTCATTTCTAGAAACTCCATTGACAGCAGCCTGGTTGGCCTCTCTATATCATATGCCCTCAATGTGAGTCACTTGATCCCGATCAGAAAGCAAAATGTTTAACACAAGAATAACAGTATTATGAATAACCCAAAACACGTTGATTGAATTTCTGTGTCTTGTTGTGGTTTTCAGGTAACTCTAACCCTCAGCTTTGTGGTCAACATAACCTCACAGCTGGAGACTAATATTGTAGCTGTAGAAAGAGTGAGTGAATACGCTGAGCTTGAGAATGAGGTATGTTGTCCTTTTTACGGTTTGCCTATATTAGCTTCACATCTGTTCTCTGTTTGCTGAAATCTGTTTCTGTCAGGTTGGTTGAAAATATTTAGCATTTCTTGCTGAAAGTTTTGACTTTTCTGTGCAAAAATCTTCACAAGAATTTTTGTAAGCTCATTTAGCTGGTGGTGTTTTTAATTTTAGTGGCTTTATCTGTTTTGTGTATGCCTGCACTCAAGAGTTTTTCAATGAGTGAAGTTGATGCATATCATTTGATCAATGAATCCATCTTGTCTTAGTAAAGTCTAATGCATTCAGATGGCTTTATCTGGTTACTTCAAGACTTTATTTTTTACCAATAAGTAGTTTTTGTACAAATCTAGCTCACACACATCAGTCATGTTGCAGTGAAACAGTCAAGAAACAGCTCAAGCTTTTTACATATATTTTCTAACATGTACAAGTGACACCTAGTGGCCTAACTAAGGTCTTACATCAAACAGAATAGTGGCTCCTGCATTGACACACGTCTTTTATCTGTCACTCTGTTGACATTATCGTACCAGAAAGAATGCTTAGACAGTTTTTCGGGAGACAAGACGTCGAGATCATCACCTGTTCTTCTTCAGGCTCCCTGGGTGACTCAGGATCGGCCTTCAGAGAAGTGGCCTGAAGCAGGAAGGCTGCAGTTTGTAGACTACAAGGTCCGCTACAGACCTGAACTGGACCTGGTCCTGAAAGGGATTTCCTGTGACATCAGTGGCACTGAGAAAGTTTGTCTCTTTCATTGTCGAAACATTGCTCAATTTATATATATTTTTTGTTGAAGAATTGAAATGAATAAGTCCTAAACCAACAGAGTTGTTTATATTTTGCATTTTTTTTTTTTTTTGGTTTCTTATTACAAAGCAACAGGAGCTGTGATTAACTATCAGGAAGGAAACTTCTAGCATATTTTGTAATTCATTTAAAAGGATTTCCTCCCATTTGACTAATTGGTGTCTCTTTTTTTAATATGTTTGTGTAGATAGCATGTTGGATACGTGGCAAATTATTTTAGAAAAATGTAATCTCCAGAAATTTTTTGATCACACACTTCTGCATTGAGATTATATCAGTAGAATTACTCAGACATTCTGCCAACAGAGCGCTTTTAAAACCCTGATTTTATTTGTTCACAGAAACCAGTTAAAAAGACAAATTAAATTTTTTTATTTTTTTTTACATTGTAAAATTACAATCCTTGTAAAATATTTGGCATTAAAAATAATTATAATTGCGTCATAACAGACAGTAATGCAGTTGGAAGTTCTTTAAAGGTTAAAGCTGGTTTCAAAGTAGAAAAGCTTCTAACTGTATTTTTGGATGTTTTTGAGATGCACCAACTAACTGCATCAACCAAGCGCTTATACACATTACTTACTAGATTGTATGTCTTTTCTTCTTTCATTACCTTCAGATTGGTATAGTGGGCCGCACTGGAGCTGGAAAATCAAGCCTGACAAACTGCCTGTTTCGCATAATTGAAGCAGCTGATGGACGTATCCTAATTGATGATGTAGATATCTCTAAAATTGGACTGCACGATCTAAGAAACAGACTCACAATCATCCCACAGGTAAACACCAAAGACAAAAACAAATGCAGAAACAAGATAATCTTTTCTGCTAAGTATGCTAACCTATGAGCTTCTGGAGTGCAGGATCCAGTCTTGTTCTCTGGGATGCTGAGGATGAACTTGGATCCATTTGACAAATTCAGCGATGAGGAGCTCTGGAGAGTGCTGGAGCTGTCTCATCTGAAGGACTATGTAGCTGGGCTGAAGGAAGAATTACAGCATGAGGTTGCAGAGGGAGGAGAAAACCTCAGGTGGGCAGCATAAACTTAAACAGTGATTACAATTCAAGTCGCATTGCATAGGATGTAGCTGCAGAAAAATGCATTTATAGGAAGTCAAAATATGTAAATGTCTAACTCAGATTATACTCAGTGCTTTCAGAAAATTGCTAGAAATGACTGTTGAATTATCTGTAAATATACAATGATATAATATTGATTAAATAATATATAATAATTGATAAATACTGATCACAGAGTGATTTACACCAATGGTGGCACAAGCAGTTATTAGGTTCAGAGGGCATTTACGTTTTTACACTGGACCAGGTTAGTTTGGTTAGCTGTTTCTTCTTGTATTTGTTCTGATCATTTTTGTCTGATCTATTTTTTTATTTTTATTTTAATTTTAATTTTTTTTGATTAACTGAAATATTGTTGCACATTGTTAATGGGGCAAATACTTTGTCACAGCTCTGTACATACAAAACACTTTGTACGCATACATTTTCTGAGAGCTCCAGATAAGATCTGAACATCCGTCTCTTCCAGTGTCGGTCAGAGGCAGCTGCTGTGTCTGGCTCGGGCTCTGCTGAGAAAGTCTCGGATCCTGATCCTGGATGAGGCCACTGCAGCCGTTGACCTGGAGACGGACGACCTGATTCAGACTATGATCCGCAAAGAGTTCTCCCACTGCACGGTGCTCACCATCGCCCACCGTCTGCACAGCATCATGGACAGCTCCAGGTGAGTCCGCGTTCGGCACGAAAGCCTGAAATACCCTGACTCACATCCAATCCAGTCACATAGTAGAGTTTTATATATTTTAGCCAGCATTAAAGGATATGACATTCCTGCTCCACAGGGTGATGGTCCTTGATGCTGGTAAAATTGTGGAATTTGATTCTCCAAGCAATCTGATGGAAAAGCGAGGTCATTTCTACTCCATGGCAAAGGATGCTGGGATAACACATGAGAGCGAAACATCGCTCTAAAAAGCACTTTTATGATTTTTTTTGAAAGATGACCTAATTTCATTGTTTTTTTTTCTTGCTGCTTTTCAAGAACTTTTTAATGTATATTAATAGAACAAAAATTAAACTATATAAGTTTGGAATAACTCCTTACTGTTACTGTTTATGTAAACATGCTTCATATACCAAAGGAGTGGCATTTTCATCTTTTGAAACCTGATCTTGTTGTTAGTTTCATCATCTCAACAGAAGAGAATAAGAGAGCCTGACTTTGGTCCAACACAGCCGTTTTATCACTTATTTTAGAATCTGCTTGACAGCAAAAAACAAACAAAAAAAAAAAAACATTTTTTTTCTACTGTAGACGGATTCAGGCAGTAAAAGAGTAAAATAACTGTCAAATAATAAAAAATCAACCACAAGAAAAAAGACAATCATTCTTAAAAGCACACACATTTTAGGTTTAATTAATGAAAAGAGTGGAGATTTGGTAAACATTTTGTCGGTGGCACTACATACATTCAGCATAATGACGTTTTTCAGTTAAACTCCCCCCCAAATCAGTCCTGCAACATGAAAAACAAACAGACAGAACCTGACCAGGGATATTTCTTTAACTTTTGCACCATGTTAATACAACTGAGACGGTGTGTTGTTCACAATAACATTTATGTATATAGTTCATAGGACAGGGGAAAAGAAAATCTGTTTCTGTTCATTTGTCCAAATTATGGAATTACATTATAATATAGCAAAACACCACTAAGATGTCTATGATGAGGTCTATCGGCACCAGTCCAGTACAGATCAGTGCAAAGGAATGAGAAGAGCCACGAAGAGAAAGTCACATTTAACTAAAAAAGATGCGCCTTTATGAGGCACATGGCCTAAATATTACAGTGACTGCTCATCAGTATGGTTCAACAGATTTTTTTCTGTAATGTTATTGTACACCACTGGCATCACATTAACAGCATCAAAAACAAAGTTAGCATGGGTAGCAATATGAACTGGAACCTGTAAGATGTGACTGTACTGCAGCCTTTTACACCATAATGAGGCATTTGGAGAAACGCAGTCCCACACAGAGCACTCTGTCGGGCCGCCAAACTCTCTAAATGCAATTTCCTGTATCTTACACTGGAAACTAAATAACAGCTAAAAGTTACCACTTTATGAATAAGCATTGCTCATATTTATCTATACACATTTATACATTCAGATTTGACGACTTGCTCACAAAAATTGGCATCTTTTTTTTTTTTCTTTTTTTTTGTGAGGCTAACCAGTCCAAAACTGACAGACAGTAAACATGTCCAGGCCTTTTCTTGTTATCTGTCAGTAGTTGGCATGTAATGCTTCTCACAGTTGCCCCTAAAAAAAGAAATATAAGGATGATCCACCTTAACATGATCAGTGTCCACAGAGGCAACTTCATCCCATTTTCTTGAGGCTTGACAGCAGCTTATGATCGGTTGAGCCCATCTTAGCTAGAGAACAAACACGATACACCTTTGTTCTATGGCAAACATCTCTCAGAATAAAATGGTGAAAATGATGCCCATCGCATAGAAACATGAAACAGATGAACGCTTTTCTGTGTGGTCAGGTAATTAATTTACAAAACAAATTTGAGTGGGATATTTCATTCTGAGTTCCAAGCTCACACTAAACAGTGGAAATATCTGAGCCTCAGGGGAGAAAAAAAAAACAAAACAAAACACTGTCATAGCTCACTATGGAGTGACGTTAGAAACACTCCATGCACTTTTTCCTGCTGTCATTGTGAGCATTGTTTCGGACTTTATTTTCAAATTTGAATGCCAGCAACACTTATGCTTAAAATAAATTAAAAACAAGCACATATTCTCATGAATTAGATGTAATATTCACATGGAAGACAACATATACAATATTTCACAATTTCTCTAGACCAATACTGCCTTTTATGTTCGTTCAAATAATTACTTTGCTGGAGAAGAAGGTGAGATCAACAAATAAAAAAACAACTAGGAAACCAACTGAATGCCTCTCCACCAGTCTAAATGCTTCCTAACACAGACGTACTCTTAAACATAGAAAAATACTATACCAAATGAAATACAAATATATTTATATATATTTATATATATATATATATTAGAATCTGTTAGGCATTACAATATAGGATGGGGTGGGAAACTGGGCAAGGACAACTAAAGAAGTTAGAATACGTCATGAGACAAATTATAACAAAATATAACAAAAAAGAAATATATAAGAAAGTCGAATAAAAATAAAAAAACAAACAAAAGATGACTGAACCTTTTGTAATAATCTTCATAATAATACAGAAAAAATCTTTACATGTTTGTTGGCAAACTCTCCACACATGCAACAGTTTGTGGTGGTTTAATACTACAGGCATTGATGGGAGCAGGGTCACTCGGCCTCCTGCAGGATTATGCAAAACATCCCTACCCCGGGGCGATACATGCTGGGGGGGGGGGCGCTGCCTCTGCCACGGCCACTTGTACTGTATGAACAAAAGGGGAACAGCTGCGCCACACCAGCCCTTCCAAGCCACGTCGGGATCGTGTTGTGTACCACGCTTGTGTGACCGTGTGTTTCACAGAGATGAGTCTGGCTGCCAGTCCATGCAGTCTTTATTTGCGGGGGATTTCTATGTTGTGGGAGCTTAATGGCAAACATCTCTCTGCACCTCGCCTCAAACCCACAACACTGCGCCCCCCTTCAGCCCTAGGTTCCCTTTTCCCCCTTACGTTCACTCTGACATGTAGGTGTAAGCATTGGAGGGCAGTATCCTGGTGGAGAAATGACGGCACCGGTCTGGGTGGCGTCTTCAACTAAATCCAACCCGTGTCCAACACTGTCCAGGTAACCGAGCCAAGCTCAACTCAAGACTCAACTCTCTTCTTATCTCTAGAGCTAAAATAAACCCTCTTGTCCTTCTTACCTCTGTGGGCTAAAGATGGACGATGGTGGCTGAGCCATTGGAGGGTCTCACAGATAGATGGGGTGTTCTTATGGGATAGTTTGGGTAGGAAGGATGCCTCACTCTCAATGCAACACCTACAACATCTCTGGACCCCTTGGAACAATGTTGCAGATACTATGGTTTTATTTTTGTTGTTGTCACACCTACACTAATGCTCAGGGTGTTTCTGTTTTAATGTAGGTCACACATCCTCACACAGGAGAGGAAATGTCCTATTTTACAAACATTGTTGTCCATAATATATAGATAGAGGTTTTATATATATTCTGTATAATCTCTTTCGTTCTTGCTTTCTCTCCTCCACCTTTCAGCAGTTTTCTTCCTTCCTTCCTTCCTTGTTTCCGTGCTTCCGATATTCTGCTCTGCAGCAGCGGCAGGAAGAGTGGGTGAACGGTGCTACATGCAGCCCACGCAGCCGCACTTGATGGTCTTTTCCACCTCCTCAGTGAAGGACGTTCCGTCGCTGCACTCGAAGGTGTATTTTCGGCGTTTCATCCTCTGGCTGACGCAGCAGCTCCCCGTGTCACAAGCTCCGGTGCACTCCACCCAGGACACCATGCGGGTTGTTTGACAGATGGCGTAGCCTCGCTGCACCTGGTAGAAGTCTCGCACGGGCTCACCTCGACATTCGGACTCTTTAAAAACAGACAAGCCATTTATTGGTCCGAACATTTCACTGACTCTGAAGTATTTGTCCTCAGCACAAACAAACCTGCATCACAGAGTTCCCCCGTGTAGCCACTTTCGCAGTGACAGTACGCGTCTCCGCTGTCGGAGATCTGGCAGCGGCCATGTTTGCAGGTGAGGCGGCGGCAGGGATTGAACAGCTCTCCTTGCTGGTTGCATAGCGCGCCTCGGTAGCCCTCTTCACACTCGCAGCGATATGACTGCAGGTCCAGAGGAATGCACTTTCCATGGACGCACCTGAGAGGAGATAACTTCATTTAGGTATATCCTACCAAGAACTGATCTTCACTGCTGATGTTTCGTAAGCAGAAAACAAGAGTCGTCAAATGTAATCAATAATGAGGAAAAATTGGTTTGCAAAAGTATTCATACAGGTTGAACACTTCCCCTTATTATGATGTTACAGTCATAAACTTGAATGTCTCGTTTTGGAGTTGATGTGATTTAAACCAGTTTTGGGCGTAATGTTAATCTGATCAGTAGCTTGGCAGACAGCCTCAGTGAACAAACAGCATTGTGAAGGCCAACGAACACATCAGACAACAATATCTCAAGATGTAAAGAAGCTCAATCCAGCCTGAAAATTCTGGAGCAGCGGGGAAAAATCCACAACTTAGGTGGCAGAATATGTTCACAGGACAACTACTAGATGTCCGCTCCACCAATCTGGGCTGTATGGAGGAGTGACAAGAAGAAAGCAGTTGTGGATCTCTTTGCAGTTTTCCAAAAGCAAACAAGATCCTCCTCTGATCAGGTGAGCTAAAATCTAACTTTTTGGCCTACATGCACAATGTTATATGTGGTGGAAAATGGATGCTGGCCATCATTTACATCACACATCAAGCTGTGGGATGATTTTCTTCAGCTGAGACAGGGAAGCTGACCAGAGTTGGTTGGAAATCATATGATACATGTAAGATTTGAACATAGTTGACCATCCACTGGGACAATGAGCATAAAAATATGGCCAGGACTATAGTGGAATGATTTTAAATCAAAGCATATATGTATGTGTCAGAACGACCCAATCTAAGTCTAGATCTCTATCCAATTGAGAATAAGCTCCAGTCTGACTGAACTTAAGCTGTTTTGTTAAGGAAAATCTGCAAATATTTCAGTCCCCAGATGTGTTAAGTTTGTAAAGACGTAGCTTAAACACCTTCAACGTGCAGCTGAGCCAAAAAGTGACTATAAAGTTTTGACTCGGTGCTGAATAAAAATGCAGTGCTGCACATATCCTTTTCCGCCCACTTTACATTTACTGCCACTTTGTGTCGATGTGTCACATAAACTCCCAATAAAATACATTAAGGTTTGTGGTTGTAATGCGCATGGCGAAACAATTCAAGGGATCGCATGTTCAGCACGTGAAACTCGACCCAGCTTCCCTATTTGCTGACGTACTTGCTGCCCTGGCAGGGGTTGAGAGCTGGCTGATCACAATGCGTGCCACTCCAACCTGGCTGGCAGTGACACACGGGTCCCTGCAGCCCGTCGGGCTGGCAGATGCCGTGGACACAGTAGAGCTTCTTGCAGGGCTCACAGCCCGGCACCACGCCGGGCTTCATTTGAGTCTTGGTGAAGTCCTGGAGCTCGTTGTTGATGTACAGGTTCTGGATGCAGCCGTGGAAGCTGGAACCGTTCTGGATCTGCCAGAGGCGGAAAGTTCCAGAGTGGACATCCACAGGCATGCCTGGAGGAGAAGATGGATAAATCAAAGTTTATATGCGGGAAGAAGAGTCTTCTGACTCACAGACAAACAGCAAACACAGGGCTGATATGAGTGGAATGAACAGAGGCATTTTCAAACATGTGTGTCCCAGTGGTTAAAAAAATGTATTTCTAGGTTTATATTTGCACCACAGAACACAACATCTTTGAAACATACAACAGAAGCCAGAAGAAATGGGAAAAAGACTCACTGTATGAGTGACAATCAAGAAGAGGTACAACCTAACATTTTTAGCCACTCCTGAACAAACTTTCACAAACTCAGGAGGATAAAATTAAACATGAACAAGTTTCAGATACATTTGGAGATCTGAGTCTCAGAATGTCAAGAGTGGCTCCATATTAAACAAAATAAATACAAACGGCAAGTCAAACTCAATTCAGATATGAAGGACTGTGTCTGCTAGTTTACAGTGCACCTGCAGTGATGTTGTGAGGTTTGCAAAAGTATTCATGTCACTTGACCGTTTTCATATGTTATCTCATTGCAAAGATCACAAAGTTCAGAATAGATCATTGGATTTTTATGTGACTGACCAACATATAAGTTTTTGTACTTCTCCACTAAAGTTATCTTCAGCTCAGTCTGAGACGGTGGAGTGTCTGGAAATGGAATTTTTTTTTTGGTATTGCCATTCATTCTCATTTGGACTTAAACCTAGACTTTGACTAGACCTTTCAAACACATTTTATCTAAACCATTTTACTGCATCTCTGACTCTATGCTTTGCATAGCCACCCTATGGAAGGTGAATATCCACCTTTCCAATCCATCTTCCCATTGAGGATTTTGGTCGTTATGTCACGAGGCACTATAAAGACTCGAACGCGTACCCTAGCAGACACAGTCAAGACGGACATGATGACGTGTGGGATGGTGAGGATGGAGGATGGAGGACAAGGTCTGGGTGGGTTGCATGTTTGTGGGAGGGACTGGTTGAGGTGGCGACAAAGCGAAGGGGGAAGGGAGGTGACTGAACAGTAGTGTAGTAGTTAAGAGTGCCTGCAGAGGAGGGAGGTGTGTTCTGGAGAGGGCCCCTACCCCCCACGTATAGTGGTGCCTCTCCGTTGAGGGGCCGCACTGCCCCAAAGCTGTCCATTGTGGTAGGGAGACCCCCATCAATGGACAGGTTC